AATATGCGTTTTTGCTGCCTGTTGCAGCGCTCTAGCGCTGCACGGCAAAAACGCATAAAAAGTTGATTACGGGTTTGGCTCACAGGCATGTTCCAGCATACTTACTTTCGGAAAAAACAGAGTTGTAGAGGGGCTAAGCACCGGTGGCTTGAATTCTTAACGTTCAACGAGTGGGTTGCCCAACCTGCAGGTGTATGTATATTCAACGCAAGTATTTAGTTAAATTTTCCTGTTTGTTTTGGAGTCATCCTTCCGAGCATTCTCATTCTCGCCCTACAAATGTTTTTCGTATACAAGCCAACTGTAGCAACCAGGTTGACCCTGGAAGCCTAGATGGCGAAGGCGTGATAGATTACAGCATGAAAGAGCAGTATGAGAGGAGGAGGTAAAAGTGAGATAAGACGTTTCGGTCCATTAAATCATATGTGGTTTAAATAAGTCTTGGAAGTTGTAAGTTTGGAAGACAAAAAACTATGATAGAAATAGTTTGTGGAGTATTTTTTGATAAAAAGATAATAGTGAAGAAAAATTTAATCAGTTGAACAAAATGTTTTGGTCCATCAAGTAGCACGTATTCCGGTTGAGCACCACAACTGGACTTCGTCAGTGTGACGGTTATAGACGCAAATAGTCAATCTGTTATGGTTTTATACCAAAGCAAAATCGTATGCAGCAGCATACTGGCCCGTACTATACATATAAACCTGACCAGAACCATTTAATAAAAAACAGCCAGGGCAAGCCCCAGTCCCCAAAATGGGCGTTCTTACCCGCATGGTACCTACGTGCGGCCCTGCCAACCCTGGTCCAGTTTGGTTACCATCAAGATACTGATGAAAACAGAGAAAATTTGCAGATATTGGCGAAACATATGATGTCGATTGTTTGCGATACCTCTGATACAGCTGCAGAATGCATCACTTATTTGAAGGAGCAACGTTTTGCCCGAGAAACATTTCTTCCGCTGGCATCACTGCTTGTTCGTCCAATCAATGAAAAACTCAGGTAACAAAATCTTTTGCTCCGGAAGAATGTTATGGTGTTTTTATCACTTTTTTTGACATAGATTCATAAAAATCAACTTCGTTTTTATCAATTTTTTGTTGGTTTTTTTCGGTCTAGATTAATGAAGCTGCGATTTTACCAGGTTTTTTTTGATGCGGATTAATCGTTTTAGGGATATATCGGAACCGCGCGGTGTACATCTCGTTTTTGATGTTATCCAATGTAATAATTCGGTTGCACGTAAAGCCCTGCAGTTTGCTTGCGGAAATGCTTTGCTTTGTGAAACACCAGAAGATGCGAAGTAAGTTTGAATTAAGCCGGATATTTTTCCATTATCGTGATTCTAATCATCTTTTTTTTGGATTCGAAACATAGCAAATTAAGTACCAGCAGCTGTACAAGTAGCTAGTGTTGAGGAATTGCTGTTATTCGGGTTTGTTTTGAGAAAAAAAATGCTGTTAGTTTTTCTGTCCCATAAAAAGAAAAATGAATCGATTCCCGATTTATAGCTTATACATAGCTCATTTTGAACTTCTTTTATTTTTACCACAAATTTCCAAACCTCCAATTTCATTGCTTTATTATTATTATTATTATTATTATTATTATTATTATTATTATTGTTATTATTATTATTATTATT